GGAAACATTCGTGCTCTGCCATGTTCCCCGCCTGTTTCTATGAAGTTTTGCACATCTGATCACATGGGGCCTCTTGATTGTCTTCGGAAAACAGCCAGGAAACGTCTCGTTCTCCGTTCTTTCGAACACCCCGGGAACACTCGCGGGACATCAGCCCGTCAGACCTGTATAAACACTGTTTCCTATTCCGACAAGATGCGCTTTGCCCGTCGTGATGCAACCTCTCCTCTCGGCTGACAAACTTACCACCTCTCCCCCATCTAGAGCCGTCCGGATCCGCCGCAGCGGCCGCCCCATGCGGGACTTCTTCGTCGCCCATCCGCAGCCCGATGTCCCCCCACGGCCTCGCGCCGTCCCGCGCACGACCGGCCTCCCGCCTGCGCCCGCGCCCCCCGTCGGCGTCCTCTACGACTCGCTCACGCCCCCCGTGCCCCTGGTTCACCGCGGGGCGTCGCTGGCGTATGACAGGCAGGGGCGGACGAGGCGCGTGCGTGCGGGGGACGTGGACGCGAGCGGGCGCAGGGGGCATCTCGCGCACCCGGACGATCCGGACGAGTTCCTGCCCGAGTACGACGACAAGGATGTTTTGCCGAGGTACCAGGATGTCCAGCGCGCGCATCCCGCCGTCGGCGTGGGTGCGGGAGGGCGTGCGCCGAATGGCATGGGGGGAGGGGCGGAGACAAGTGATACGGTTCCGCTCGTGACAAGGATGCAACTCTCGCGCAGTGCATCATTGGAGGACACGCGAGGGCTGTCGTCTGTGGGCTCGCACGTGGGACATGAAACGGAGGATGGGACTCGTGATCCACAGTGCTTGGAACGGTGATGGTCATTACCCTCGTTTGACTGACTTGGTTTCACATCGTAGATGTCGCGCATGCGTCGATGCAATTGATGGTATGGACATTCGTGGCACGCGTTCGCGGCTTCGAAGCGGCGGCCTATCTGCTTTCGTGCTTTCGTGCTATGCAATCATGCATGTTTTGGCATTCCCCCATCTCGTCGACTCACAGGTGTCATACCTTGTACACTAGCTGCTCATTGCTCTATACTATCCCCAATTCCATGCATCCTCACAGACCTCTCCTCGTAGTTCGTGACCGGGGGTCGGCCATTGGACTACGCACGGCGGACGCCCCGCAACATGCGTATGACATCAGGCGTCGGGCGTCGAACCTCAGCTGGGCCACGAACGTATGCACACGTGCGGTCACTAAGTACGTCTCCAAACTCATCAACGCTCGCGCGCACTTGTAGGAACGCACATTGCGACGGGCCAGCTGCACACTGCTGGACGCACCGGGTCGGAGCATATGTCCATTTGGGTTTCGCTCTGTCTGACACGGGCAGTGCGGGCGCCCTGATTGGACTGCACAATGAGGCAAGGTGACGGGACGGAGAGGTGGCAGCTCACGCGACGGCAGAGCGAGTGAGAGGCAGCGTGAACCCAGGAATGTGCCGAGGGCATCAGTGAGCGTACGGGGAGCTACGAGGACGCGTTGTCGTAGTGCGCCCCTCTTCTGTGCTATGCGCCGCATGTGGACGCTGACAAGCGGCTGACTATGATCAACATGTGGGTAAGTAGGGAATGCGCACAGCGACGAGGGCCGGACGGAGCTGGCCTGGAATCGGACGAGGGGACCGCGCGGGCTCGCTCACGGTGCAGTCAGTGTCTCGGTGACAGGGGTATGATTGGTTGCGGGCCTCCCAAATCGAGTTCATCGTTGGCTCGAGCAAGCGTGAGATGATACGCCAATGTGGTTGCGGTCGTTACTTTACATACAAGAAACACTCCCTCAGAAGGCAGGAGCGCAGGATGACGGAATGTGTCGCGCAGCGACAGGGCGGGGGTCTGAACGGTCAGCCATCATGCGTCCTCTTGCGTAGAAGACGCTGCCGTTCCTGCGGCCCGAGACCGCATAATCCGAAATTCCAACAGACCCGGATCTCGAATGTTGAGCATCATGCGCGAGATGAGCACGTTTGACAATCTGGGTTTCAAGTAGGAGAAGATCAGGAGAGAAGATGGGCACCACAAACGCAGAGACGCACACATTGGTCAGAGTCGTAAAGATGCCCCTATATGCGGTCTACGCCGTCCAATCAGCGTCCAGCGCGAGGTTGTGACGATCACAAAGGCGTGCCTACCGGTGCATCCTAGCCAGTTGGCATCCGTCGTAAGGCTTAACGGAGCGATGATCTCAGGAGACGGTATATGCAACGCACCAGATATGTGATTATAGTGAACAGGTAACAGATGGCGAGAACCCTGGAGCGGCAGCACCTCATGAAAAATTATCGTCACGACCGTCACTGACCGTAAGGACTTACCCAAAGTAGACCGCCCCTACCGAGGCAAAGCTCAATCAGCGAGGT